TGAAGAGAAAGCAACAAAAGTTGTTGTTCTGGTGTGCAGCATCAGGCGATGCTCAGGCGAGGAGCATCGTGTCTGCATCGTCGAGCGACAGATGGGCGTGAAATTGGTATCAATTATCCAGTTGCTTCTGCCTTGCTTCGCTGCTATATCGCCAGGCGAGGGATAAAGGTGTTGTTGGGTGAAGCTTTCCATCGTCGGGCGATGGAATATATTTTTTCCAGCTTGCCTGCATGGCGCAAGATGGGCCTTATAAATAAGGACAGTCGTCAGGTGACGCTTTTGGAGCATTGAGCGACGCGTGCGGATCAAATTTTGTTTCTATTTTCTATTTCATTTCATTTGTTTGGTTATGGGTTTGGGGATAGTTTTAACTCCCAAATTCATCAACCCTCATTTTCCTTAGTGTTAGCTTAGAAAACAACTATGAAGCTTGCATACGGATGGTCCGGGGTGGATTGCTCTTCGATCGATGCTGACAAACTGGGAGATTTGTGGTTCATTTCTCTTCTTTTTTGTGTACTCTTTATTTGTTGAGTTTGTATATGTATTTACTTTGAAATCATGTATATTTGTCGCCCATGGCGTTGTATAAAACTTGTTTTACAAATCTTTGTCAATTATTGTCTTGGATTTTTGCTCTGTGCTTAAGGGTTTGAGTTGCTATAGACATATACTGCTCGAATTTTATCTAGGATGTTTATCTATCAGTTTCTTAATTCTAGAGATAGATTAAGAACTATTATTCACTTGGGTGTCTGTGATTAATGCCCCTGTGTTAGTTGTGTCGTTCTGAGAGATCATCGACGCGAGTAGCACGACTGACTTTTGTGTTATTGAGGTTGGTTGAGAGATCGCCACCGAGGTGATATAGTAGGTGTTGTGTTTGACATGTGGTGACATTGATGAGTATTGTAGGTTGAATATAATGGATCAATAGGTTGAAGTCTGTGAGGAGTTGATTATATGCATGCCTGATAAGTTTCCCCTTTGAAGAATGAATTTATTTTCCTATTAATACCTTTTACCTTTCTTTACAAACAACCCATTCAAACCCAAACTCATAAACACAAGATATTTTTCGAACGATAATTCAGTAGCACTAATCCATATGGAGACAATACGATATAACCTATATGACCCTATAAAAATACTTACTTTTTGCTTGCTGCTCTACCGCTTTAGCAAAATGGCACTAATGTTGGGAATTGGTGTTTTTTGCGATAGTTTCTTTGTTTTTGATATTTGTAGATACCTTATATATTGTCTATCTTCACTTGTTTATATTAATACTTGTATATGTTTATCACACTTGTGCATGTTTTCTATACTTAAGAATTTCTTATACCATAGTTAGTTTCCTTTCACGTTTGCTTGTGTGTTGGTTAAGAATAACCGGGTGGAAGCAACTTGGAGGAACGTCTCAAATAAAAGGCGCCGAGCTTACAACATAAAACAAGCATATTTTATTGTTTTAAATCTTTTAGTTTAGGTAGTGTGGTGATCTCTGTTTAAACAAGTTGAAATTAGACCTATTCTAAAATCTTAAATCTTCACTTTTCGACTTATTTATTCAATTTCACCCGGTTGTTTAGTTGTGTTAATTCTTTTGTTGTTGTTTGGACTCTGATTTTAGTTTGATAGCTTGAGGTCGCTTTTGGTGATTGTTTGAATTTGAGTGTTTCAACTTGCGGATGTATGGTAATGATAGTTTTTGAAGTTGGTACACGCCAGGTACCCGTTTATCACTTTCTATAGCATAACATGATTATGAAACCTTTCATTTGCATAATTACCATGCCATTCATTCTTTTTGCATTACTTTCTCATGACTTAAATTACGTTAGTTCACTTTTTACCCTCAAATGTGAGGAAGCTTTCTGTTGTTCATATATGTTGGAGGCCACAATTCTTGTTGTAACTGGATTTCATTATGTTTAATCTTTTGTTTGTGTTGATTGTATGAAAGCATGAAAATGATAAAGGCATTTTGTTTGATTTTGAGCACAACTACCTAGCCAAGTTGTCAATACCTTGTGAGTGTGTGAAATTTTATTAATCCCTTTTGAGCCTTTTTATCAATGTCCATGTTATTTTTGAACTTAATGCTTGTCTATAAGTGTTTGGTTTTCCTTTTTGAATGTACATTGATTATTTGTTTTCTTGAATACTCAACTATGATTTTTAGTTGAATTTTTTCCTTGCCTTAGAAAGTAGGGAGTATTCACTTTGATGTTGGTTGAATTCAAGTTGAGAAGAGCAATGTTTGCTCGTTTATGTGTTGGTTGCTATGAGGTTGAAAAGAAAAAGAAAAAAAATGTGTGAAAAATAAAAGAAAAAGAAAAAAAATGAAAAAGTTTCGAAAAAGAAAAACAAAAAGAGTACGGAATAATGTTGTGTTAATAAGTATTGTGTTTGGTTTGTGAAACTTGGGATTTGGAAGAAGTTTGATTGAAACTGTGTTGCTTGAGTCTTTGTGAGTTGATCACTCCCTTAGGTTAAGACAAAATTTTGTTTCAATTAGCATTAGGAATTGTCCCTTATTTGTTAACCAAGTCACATTACATCCTTGAAAAGTCCTTGTGATTCTTGCCTTTGTATGTTCAATGTGAATTTTTGGATGAATGCATAATTTAGTCTTTTGTTTGCAAGACTATTAGATAAGTGTCTATGTTCCTCACCTTTGTGTGTTCTTCATCTACTGATGGTTTTTTACTAGGTGTGATTCATGATTAAGCTTTTTTTTTTAGAATGTTTAGTATGATTTTTTTACTTAGGATTCATTTTGTTTACATGTTGTCTTGTAGGATTATGGTAAGTATTTATTGTGCTTGTACGTTTTTATTTGAACCATACATTTGTTTTCGTTTTTCAAACTTGTTGATTCATGATTCTTTGGTTGATTACTTTTGCTTCTTTAAGTTTGTTTGCCCTTGTTTGAGGACAAACAAGTTCAAGTGTGGGAGAGTTTGATAAGTACAAATTGTAGCTATTTTTGCATATACTTTTTGTTGCACTTATCGACTCTTTGTTGTTAATATTGGTTGAATAACTCGACTTTGTGTGTAAATTCATTTAGTTTGTATATATTTGTGTTTTCGTGTACATAGTGTATCGTTTGATAGTTTTGTATTCATTTTTGTAGGTATTCAAGCATCATTGGAGCATTGAGAATAAATTCCAATTGGAGCTCCAGGATGTGAAATTGATCGATAAAAAAATAAGGCAAAAGAGGAAGCCATTTGAAGTTGTGTAGAGAAAGCAACAAAAGTTGTTATTCTGGTGTGCAGCGTTGGGCGATGCTCAGGCCAGGAGTATCGCGTCTGCGTAATCGAACGATGGAGGGGCGAGAGGTTGGATCAATTTTCTAGTAGCTCCTGCCTTGCTTCGCTGTTGTGTCGTTGGGCGAGGAATAAATGTGTCATCGGGCGAAGCTTTCAATCGTCGGGCGATGGAAGATATTTTTGCCAGCTTGTCTGTGTAGTGCAGGCTAGGCCTTGTAAATAAGGATCGTCACCAAGCGACACGTGCATATCATATTTTCTTTATATTTACCATTTTATTTCATTTGTTGGGTTATGGGTTTAGGGATAGTTTTAGCTCCCAAATTCATCAATCCTCATTTTTCCTTAGGGTTAGCTTAGAAAATAACTATGAAGCTTGTATACGGATGATTTGGGGTGAATTTCTGTTCGATCGACGCTGACAAACCGGAAGATTTATGGTTCATTTCTCTTCTTCTTTGTGTATTATTTATTTGTTGACTTTGTATATGTATTTACTTTGAATTCATATATATTTGTCGTCCATAGTGTTGTATAAAACTTGCTTTACAAATCTTTGTCGATTATTGTCCTAGATTTTTACTCCGTGCTTGGGGTTTGGGATGCTATAGACATATACTGCTCGATATATAGGATGTTTATCTAATTGTTTCTTGATTCTAGGCATAAATTAAGAACTATTATTCACTTGGGTGTCTGCGATTAATGCCTTTGTGTTAGTTGTGTCGTTCTGAGAGATCGTCGATGTGAGTAGCACTGTTGACTTTTGTGTTGTTGAGGTTGGTTGAGAGATCGCCAACGAGGTGATATATTGGGTGTTGTGTTTGACACATGATGACATTGATGAGAATTGTAGGTTGAGTATAACTGATCGATAAGTTTAAGTTTGTGAGGAGTGAATCATATGCTTGACTGATAAGTTTCTCCTTTGAAGAATGAATTTATTTTCCCGTTGATATCTTTTATCTTTCCTTACAAACAACCAATTCAAATTCAAACTCATAAACGCGAGAGATTTATCGAACGATAATTTAATAGTACTAATCTCAATCTCTGTAAAGACGATACGATATAACTTATATCACCTTATAAAAATATTTATTCAACACACGCCTTCAAAAAAAATTTCCGCTTTCTAAGTACCTTGAGACTTCTAAACATTCGTATATTCCAATTAAAAAAAGATTTGAAGTATTAGGTTATGCCACTTCTCGCCATATGGAGGTTCTAGATCCAATCTAAAAGACTCACATATTGGTGAGCTTCTTCTTTCATATTTATTATTTACCCAATTAAAAAAAAAAACATGTGAGTGAGAGTGAAAGAATTATTTAGGGAGGAAGGGTGTAAATAAAAAAAAATGGAAATGATTAAGAAATGCACCGAAATAGATGCAATAATAGATGAATGGGGCAATAACGTAAAAAGAAGTAAACAAAAGTGGGGTCCGAATAGATAACATGATGAAAGTTATGCGCTGGTTATAGTTGGTTTGGCTCGTGGCCGTAACATGGCTGTCACCCTTGAAGAACGAACGGCCCTCACTCACTCTAGACAAAAACAAAAACAAAAATATCCCGCCCTCCATTATTACCATCTTAACCCCCGCATTTCCCTCTCTTCACCACTCCCACTTCCATCCATATAAGTATATTCTATTTCTCCCTCAACCGCTTCATACAAAATCATCATCATTTTCATTTCCACAAACCCTAAACCATGAGAGAGATCTTGCACGTTCAAGGAGGCCAATGCGGGAACCAAATCGGATCCAAATTCTGGGAGGTCATCTGCGATGAGCACGGCATTGATCCCACCGGTAAATATGTGAGCGAAGGCGGTAACGATACGCAATTGGAGAGGATCAATGTGTATTACAATGAAGCTTCTGGTGGAAGATATGTTCCCAGAGCAGTTCTTATGGATCTTGAACCTGGTACTATGGAAAGTATCAGATCTGGTCCCTTTGGGAAGATCTTTAGGCCTGATAATTTTGTTTTTGGTCAATCTGGTGCCGGCAATAATTGGGCCAAAGGTCATTATACCGAAGGTGCTGAGTTGATTGATTCTGTTCTTGATGTTGTTCGTAAAGAAGCCGAGAATTGTGATTGCTTGCAAGGTAATTTCAATTTTCCTTCATTCTATAATTCATTTATAGATCTGTTGAATTTCATTCTTGATGTTTATTTCTCATTGAAATTGTGGTTGTAAATTGTAATCATTGCTAACGTTTTACAAGTTAATGATATGTAGTAGTTCATAAAATCCAGCGATCTTAATTAAGCCTAGTGATAGGTACTAGGATCCAATTCCATTTTTGGTAGATCTAGGAATTTGATGCATGAATTATAAATTCAACTCAACCTCCTTGAAAATTGCTGTAATAATGACAATATTTTATGGATAATAAAAAATTCAGTGATAGGTGACATTCCTGACTTTATGGATCGTTCATGCTTTTTGTCATCTGTAGATCTTTTATAATAAAGAAACAAGATCTGGGGTATCATGATGATTTTCTTCATGTCGGCTTTAAAGCAACTTGATTTTTTTATATATTGGAGAAGTTGACACTTGACATGGCGCTGTTGTGTAGTGTAGTATTATTGTCCATGTTCTCTTGATTCAAAGACATGCAGGGACCACCCTATCTTTTATAGTGCATAATTGAATTAAACTCCATAGAATAATCAGATTCTTTTCTAAACCATTTTTTTCTTCAGAAAACAAAAAGCATTCCAACCTAAGCAGACGATATAAGTGTTGCCTTTATGTACACATATAATTTTTCCTCTGAAGGGGTTCTGTTATATGTAGAACATAGTTGATATCATGGTTTCCTAACAGGGCAATAAACAGATCGGAGTTGGTATGATTTCATGGTATTGTTATACTCTAATACAGCACAACATTAGTACATGCTCCTGGAAATCAGATTTATGAACTTCATATTTGCCATCTTTTGTTCTGAAAATCTAAAAGTTACATTTTAATATTGCCAGGTTTTCAAGTTTGCCACTCTCTTGGAGGAGGTACTGGTTCTGGCATGGGAACACTATTAATATCAAAGATTAGGGAGGAATACCCGGACAGAATGATGCTTACTTTCTCTGTTTTCCCATCTCCAAAGGTGTCCGACACAGTTGTTGAGCCATACAATGCTACCTTATCTGTACACCAACTGGTAGAAAATGCAGATGAGTGCATGGTTCTTGACAATGAAGCGCTTTATGACATTTGCTTCAGGACATTAAAACTCAGCACCCCTAGCTGTAAGTATCATCTTCTCTATTTTAGTCGATCAATTGCTCTAAGATTGGGTATAATAACGTTTTTCTTTCCTCATGGTCTAATTGCAGTTGGAGATCTGAACCATCTAATTTCTGCAACCATGAGCGGGGTTACCTGTTGTCTGAGGTTTCCTGGACAGCTGAACTCTGATCTCAGGAAGCTGGCTGTCAATCTGATTCCATTCCCACGTCTTCACTTCTTTATGGTGGGTTTTGCACCTCTCACTTCTCGTGGGTCACAACAATATGTATCCCTTACCGTCCCGGAACTGACTCAGCAAATGTGGGATGCGAAAAATATGATGTGTGCTGCTGATCCCCGACATGGCCGGTACTTGACTGCATCTGCTATGTTCAGAGGAAAGATGAGCACCAAAGAGGTGGATGAGCAAATAATCAATGTGCAGAACAAGAATTCATCGTACTTTGTTGAATGGATTCCCAACAATGTGAAGTCTAGTGTCTGTGATATTCCACCCAAGAATTTGAAGATGTCGTCCACTTTTATTGGGAATTCAACTTCAATTCAAGAGATGTTTAGGAGGGTTAGTGAACAGTTCACTGCTATGTTCCGGCGCAAAGCCTTTTTGCATTGGTACACTGGGGAGGGAATGGATGAGATGGAGTTCACAGAGGCAGAGAGTAACATGAATGATTTGGTAGCAGAGTACCAACAATACCAGGATGCAATTGCCGAGGAGGAAGATTATGAAGAAGAAGAGGGTGATGAGCAGCCGTATGATGAGCATTAGCTGAATGATACTCTCGGGTAATGCACTAATGGTAAAAATGTCCACCATGCAACTTTGCTGTTATTTGTGTATCTACAGCCATATATGCTCTTTCTTTATTCTTAATTTTACATGTTTCTCTACATTTTGCCAATTTCATCTTCAAGTGTATTATTATTAATATTTCTGAGTTGTTTGGAAATCAGATTGTGAATCGTCAGACAGGATTATTCTATACTTCTATTCCTTAAATCATACGTATGTATTTATGTATTTGTGTGGATTAGTTTTGTTTCCTACCAATTCACTTTGTTTTAAGAGGGCTGGGACTTTCCCGGCCATGCCATGAAGCCATCCGCTACTCCAAGACTAATGCTTCATTTGGAAGCTAGGAAAAAAACAAGAGGAAAGGAAATATATAGAGAAAAGTAAAAAGAGTAAATAGATATTGCACGCTATTTGGATGGGAGAGAAGGAGAGTAGAACATGCTCTTTGATTTATGGCAGTGCGTTGGTTAAAATTGAGTTTTAATTCTTAAAATTGCTAGATTACAGACTTGTAAAATCAAATTTGGATGAAATTTGAGTTTTTCTAAAACCTAATGAATTCAATACAATTTTACTTGATTCTATCTAATGTTAGAGAAATTAACTTGTGTTTTTTTTAACAGTTTAATTTTTAAAAACTTTAAAACGCATGAAACTCTTTTAATTCGGCAATGTTTGCACTTCAAAATTGGCTTGGTGGTTTGAGGTAATTTTGACATTTTTTCAATTTTGACATAAACAAATAAAGATTTTAAGTGATTTCTCATTTGATCATTTGAGACGCGATCAAAAGAAGCAGAAATTCACATTGTCTTATGTATTCTCCAAGGGACATAAACCATCTTGCAAGGGCATTTTTCAAGTTGTAAATTCCGAATAATGTTCTTCTAATTTCTCAAGTCTAAAAACTCTCAGCTTATTCAATTAGAAACAATGAAATTAAATTCACTCCTCAGATATTGCAAATCATCAAAAAGTCTAGTTTTGAGTTGTGGGAAACCTCTCTGTCACCTTTAGATTCCTTCAGTTTTGAATTTCCGACCTTATTGTTGCCTCTCTATTTGATGGTAATATCCATTGGTTTGTTGCTCTCATGATTTGGAAATACCACATTTAGAGCACGATAAGCCCTTCGAATTTGTGTTTGAGATACACCTTTTTTTCAAAATTAGGCGTCTGTAGACATGGGGCATTGAATGCCTTTGGCAAGGTTGGTTCGACTAATGTTTGACATGGGGCTTTGAAAATATTGACTAGTTACTTTTCTATGAACCATTTTTCTATTGGTACATTTTAAGGAGGGGGTGTAAGTGTTTTTCTCTTTATGAGACAAATAAGTCCTCATCTTCTTAGGGGTTTAATAACTTATTCTTGGATTCTAGAAACTCCTTTGATAATTTTTTGCATGGAAATAATTTCCTTCTTTATTAGGTGCTTTCTTAGCTCGTTTCTATTCGAAAGTCTTATTTCTTTCAGATTTTTTAGAAGGCTTGTATAGCAACTATTAAACATTAATCTGCACAAGGATACAACATGACCTCTTTATTGGTGTTGCATTTCTTTTGAAGGAAATCCAACAACCATTCATTATTTTTTTGGATATACCTTGTTCAAAGACTCTTCCTTGAACTTCCCAATCACAATATCAGGCTCTAATCTTCCACTAAGACAACTTATACTACACAATAATTGAAGAAAGGTTCAACAAAGTGTGCAGGCACATGGAAATGATCATAATTTATTTTCACTGGTGCCTTGATCTTTGCATCAAACACAATTTTTCCATCTTATGTTGCCTTTTGGATCGTATCCTTGAAATAAAATGCATGAATCAATGTGATTACCAAAATTGTTATGCATTTTACAATACTTTCCCCTCTTATATATTTAGATAAGAGATCTTATGGATTTCACTCAGTAATATTTTTCTATCGTTCAATAAGATATGAAAAACTTGGTTGACCTTGCTAATATAAAATGCATATTTCCATTTAATAAAGTTTGAGTTAATGTTCAGGTTTGAAATTCAATTATTAGGATGACCATGGTTTCAATTCATTCAGTTAAACACTTTCATAATTAAACATATTATAGGAGTCATCCAGTATTTTTTTTTTTCACTCTCTACCAAGGCCACATAATAGCCTTTATCCTTTCAAGGGAACCTTTTTTCTCTTTATTTTTTTTTTCTTTCTCGAGGTTTAATTTCTCACAATATGCCTGACACTATTTACAAATTGCTACATGTCCTTAAGTTGTTGGCTAACCATTATCTTTTGAACATCATTATTGAAGCCACCGACTCATAATCTGAAATCATAGTCAAACATATTCTTTATTTGATACCTACTAATGTAATCATCAATAGATTTATTGTCTTTTCTTTGGATTTTCGCTAAGTCCATGACATCAAAATTAGTTTCACCTTTAAATAATTATTCATGGAATATGGTTTCAAATTGCCCCAAATTGAATATGGATTTTGGTAATATGATTTCAAATTGCCCCCAAATGATTTTGGTGGCACGAACGTAAACCATGTGAACGTGTCTTTAATTAAGAAACTAGGAAAATATTTCTTCATTAAATATTCATCATTATCTAAATATCCTCCATTCAATTTGATATTTAGCTACGTGTTTTATTGTTGATTCCTCAACTTCACCGATAAACAATGTGATGGATAAACTCATTTCTCCTAACCAATATGTTTTTCTTAAGGGGGAGAATATTGGTGGATTGAGTTGTAGATATTAATGAAGTGGTTGACTTGGCTAAGAGATCTAAAAGACATTGTCTTATTCTTAATGTAGATTTTGAGAAAGCATGCAAATCAGTTAGTTGGAATTTCTTGAATTATATGTTAATTAAATTCAGGTTTAGTGAAAAATGGAGGTCTTGGATGAAAGCTTGTGTCTTTGCCAGGAACCTTGTTGTGTTGGTGAATGGGTCTCTTATCCAAGAGATTAACATTCATAGGGTGTATGAAAAAAAGGGGAACCTTTGCTTCCATACTTTTTCTTCTGGTTGCTAAGAGTCTTAGTAGTTTGATAGTGGGGGCAGAAGAGTTGGGTTTTTACTTTGGATTTAGAGTTGGTATTTCTGGATTGGTAGTATTTCACTTTTAGTATGTTGATGATACTCTTTTGATGGTTGATCCGTCTCTAGAGAATCTATGATGTATTAAGGCTATTCTTAGAGGTTCTAAGACGGTCTCAAGTCTTCGTGTTAACTTCTTCATGAATAATCTCATTGGGGGTTAAGGTCGATCATTCTTTCTTACTTCTGCAAGTGACTTTCTTCGTTGCGAGATAACCTATCTTCCTTTTAAGAACCTAGGGTTTCCAGTGGCGTCCAATCCCCATCTTGAGACTACTCGGGATCCTTTGGTTGTGTTGTTGAAAAAAAAACTTAACTCTTGGGATCCTCTATCCTTTCTGAAATTTCCTGCTATGGTTTGGAAAAAGATAATGGCGTTATAAAGGAGATTTCTTTTGGGGTGAAGAATGTGTCTAAGATCCCATGGGTGAATTGTGATGATGTCTGTAAGCCCAAAAGTAGAAGAGGATTAGAAGTGAGGGATCTTAGACTGATTATTAATGCTCTTCTGGCTAAGTAGAAATTGAGGGTACTTGTAGAGGATTTAGGGATCTAGAGAGATATTCTAATAGCTAGATATGGAGATATCTTTATTTCTTACCTTAGTGGTGGTAGGGTCAGGGGTTTCAGTTCATTCTCATCCTAGTGAAAAGAGATTTCTTGTCTTAGGACTAAAAATAAAGGCAACTCTGATTGGTTTTTTGATGACATTACTATGAAATTGAGGTTGAGTCTTCAAACTTCCTTCCGGGAGGATCCTTGGCTTGGAAATTTCCTCTTAAAGTCCAAGTTTTCTAGTTTGATCTCCAATTTCTCCAGCGAGAAGGGCTGGTGGGTGAGATATGGGAGGTGATCAATGAGGTTATGACCTGAGACTTTAGATTGAGAATATTCTTCTTCCTTAGAGAGTTTCCCGTTCTTAAGGAGTTTCATAGCTTGATCAGAGATGTTATTCTTGCATTGGATAAAGATAAGTAAATTTGGATGCATTCTAGTGATGAGAATTTTTCAGCGGCATCCACTTACCTCGTCCAGAAGAGGAGTTTGACATCTTCTATGGATCCTCTTTCGTTCTAGAGTCACATCCTTTCACTTATTTGGAGTAGTTGGGATCCATATAAGATCTTGATTTTTTTTCTTGGCAGTTATTGCATGAAAGTTTCCATTCGAGAGTTAATCTGTTTTAAATAGGGGTGCTTTCGGATACTAGTGATATTTCTTGTCCCTTTTATTGGTTATTGCCTAAGTCTGTTTCTCACCTCTTTATTACTTATGAGTTAGCTTCATCGGTGGTGTGGTATTCAATTTTCAGATGGTCGAGGTGCCTCGTAGTTATTCATCAGGATCTTATGGGGATTTTTTCGTATTTTTCATTCTTTAGGAGGTTAAGTAAAGTTTATGGGTTGTTTTCTCTTGGTTTGGCATACGATAATCAGGTATATTAGAAAAAGCCCGAAAATGATGTTATATTTAATAGAGTCACAAAATTAGAGAAAGAAGTGGATGATAAGAGTACTTTTTAGATTGGAATTGGTTCTTGGGTAAGTCAGGGGAGAGCTATTGCACCTTTTAGGAGTGGCTTCAGAATCATATCCCCTACCTACACATATAGCATATGAAGTGTTTTCCCTAATTCAGAGTGTGGTGGTGGCTTTTTGTTCCTCTTGTGCTCGGACCTGATTTGTTTATGGTGGATATGCTTAGTTTTAGATCTAGTAAATGTCTAGTAAGGTGATTCCGCAGTAGTTTTGGTTTTGTTCCGACTATCCTATCCTTTTTGTGATTTTATGTTTTTCTCGTGTATAATATCTTGTTTATTTTATCTTGTTCCAGAAACTTCTTGTGCTCCGTGTTTTTTGTTGTAACTTGACTTC